TCTGGGTCCTGTCCTGAACAGCAGCAGGGCATTATGGGAGTTGTAGTCTGAGTGGTTAATGGTCTGTACAGTATAATACCAGCTCTCCAAGTCATTTGGTATTGTCTAGTGCAGGGGTGCTCAATACATCGATCGCGATCTACCATTTGATCTCCAAGGTACTATTGATAGATCGTATGACAAGGTGAGCTGACATTGTCACGAACTGGCGCTATACAAATAAAGTTGAGTTGTTTTGAATAAAAACTAGACGTCAGCCTACCAGCCGTCCCGTCACTAGACTGATACACAGGACAACCAGTCAGATGACATCTGATTTTTTCCCGTACAATTAGGTCACTGTGCGTGCTCGAACAACAGCAAAGCTAACAAGCTAGTCGGTAGTTACATCCTAATTTCCTCTTAAACGTAAGATAGGTTATGAAAATGAGTGGGGGAGCTAAACCAAGTAATATGTAACCAACTAAAATGTACATAATTATGTTGTGTTGTGCAAAATATGTGGTTATACATCAACATAAGTTGTAAGAATCCTCAATATATTTCTCAATAAATCTAACGGGTAGATAATTTTGACTTGGTCATTTCAAAATAGCTCCCATGCTGAAAAAGTGCGAGCACCCCTGGTCTAGCGGGGCCAAATATAGCAACAACAAGTGGGCCAGATTTGGCCCGCGGGCCAGAGATTGACCACCCCTGTGCAGCATAAGGAGTGGCTCTTTACACGTGGGGATGGGTGTGTTTGGGACTTCCGGTGGGGACTGAGGGGGAATGTGTAGCATGAGGTTGGGCCGGCTCTCACCAGAAGAGGGAGGCCCCCCCCCAGGCCCCCGATGGTCACGTCTGTGATCCCGTCTCCGTTCAGATCCATCACGCCGTGTATGGACTGGCCGAAGAACTTGACCTTTTCCCCGTCCCCGCCCGCAGGGATGCGCTGTGAAGGCATTAAGGAAGCTTTGAACTTTGTCTGATTTGCAATTTTAAACACGCAACAGATCTGATAAACGCCAAGAAAAATAAAAAAGACGGGTCAGTTTTCCAGCCTCAAATTCCTTAGGGGGATTTCCCAGTTTTTTTTTTTTTTGTCCATGTCAAATTGTGATCTGTCCCAGGAATGAATCTGAAGTAGTCCAACTGTGGACGTGTGGCCCAGTTGTGTGTTTTCCGCTGCACAAAGCAAGGCTCTTTTAACCTCACGCTGCACATTAAAGCCTCATTTCTGATCAAATCTGATCTGATGCTTCCTTCTAACTTCCATAAACCAAGATCCTCACTTCCCCGTCAAGAAAAAACAGACCTTTGTGAGGTTGTGATCTGTGATTCGAACCAACTTTAATCAAAACAAGAACAGCTTTTCAGACCATAGGAGCCTTTTCAGCTGATTGTAGGTCACCTAACTCCTTTAATGATGTCTTTTTTGAGCCTCTATTACAGAGGAGGACATGAGAGAAACCATCTGTGATTGAGCTGTGCTGCGATTGGTAAACATGACAACAAGACACGCAACAACAGTAGCTGCCAACAAAAGGAAAGCGAGAGAGGGAAAAAAAGCCACGCACTGTTGAAATGGAGGATTTCTACACAAGAGGCCCTCAACATTGGTCTGAGAAAGAGGCTAAAGGGCATTCAAAGGATTCAACAGGCAGCAAATGGAAGGTTTATCGAGCTAATACACAAGAGATTTTCCATCAGATTTTTATCATCAACACACACCCAGAAATGCACAAAAGCCAAACAGATTTCTATCTTGAAATCCGCTCAAATTTTGGTGTTTTGTCCTGTCTCCATGGTTGTCTTGTCATTTCCTGTTTTATTTTGAAAGATACATCCCCATGTTTAAGGTCTCTTGCACTCCCCTGTGTGTCCTTTCAGGATGGTAACTCCAGGCTGGACTCAGATGCAGAGACTGAGTTAACAAAAGGTTTTACTAACTCAGGGCGCACTCTCAAGGAGTGGAAACAAAGTACAAAATAGGATCGCTCTACGAGGATGGTTTCAGAAAAGTAACGAATCAGAATCACTCATAAACGAGCAAAGTAACAAAATAATACTCACAAGAGTCAGACAAAATTAGGAGGATTGAAAACAAAATCACTCTTTCGAGGTGTGACTATATTTTCAAGGCAAGGTTTGGTTCAAGGACCAGGTTAATGCTCAGGAGGGGTCAAGAGACGAAAGACGAATGACCAAAGACCCTAACCCTAACCCTAACCCTAACCCACTGGCACCAGACAAGGAGAGATTCAGACTATTTAAACA